TTTTTTTCTGCGGGGGAAAAGGTGCCAATTCCACCATAAAGCATCCAAAATCTGACTCGTAATTCCAATGTACCGCGATCGAAACCCACTGCTGGCTGCGTGGATTGTTATCATGGTATGGCATTAAAAAACCCGATATCTGAAGAAGAAAAAATGTGCCAGTATTACCACAAATTATAAAAAGATGTATTGGCACTCATTAGAAGGTGGCTATTATGAAATCATTATTGTTATAAACCCATGTCTTTAAAAAGGTGCCAGTACGGCACACAGCCAGCAAGTCTTGGGTAAACAAGGACACCTATGATGTCCCAAATCTCTGCTGCTGGAGTCTGATGACGTAGTAGACAAGTTGAAGAGTGTCGATTCTGCTGTTTGGGAACATACTAAAACTGAAAGAACTGCCCAAGTTCGTGGATTTTATTGTTCAAATACACACCAACAGCTAGAGAAATTCCAACATTCCTGTCTTTGTTTGATACAGTACCATCTCCGCACTTCAAGAAAGTTCATTATTTGTTTTGTTGTCAACTGTCAAAGCAAGCAAGCTGGGGCGCTATTATTTTGTTTCACTTTAATGAAACTTGTAAGTTGATTATTATTGCAGTTGTTTATAATTAATATTATTATTATTTTATTTAAAATAATATAATAATAATAACATGAATTACAGCATTTCATTATCAAATTAAATGTGTTTAACGCAGCAGATATTATTAGTATAATAAATAAAATGTGCAGCCTGCTCGTCGATCTGGCGCATAGCGTCGTTAGAGACAGTACTTATTTTATATTATTTATACTGCATATTATAGTACAGTAGCCGTTCAGGGAGCCACAAAGCATGTCGTAAAAAGAGTCTTATGCGGGCTGGCGTGAGATTGCCTGCCCCATTATGTAGAGAAAAAAAAACGAGTGTCTTCAGCTGCTCAATCTGACAAATCATGAACAAGTTTTTAAAAAAAAAATAAGTATAGAGAAATATCTCAGCTAAACAATATAAAATTACTCTTCTGGACTGGAATTAAGCACAAAGCTTATGGTTTACAGGCGCAGGAGGTCAGATCCACCATAATCTTCCCAAACAAACTAGGTCACATTCAATTCATAAATTTTTTAGACTTGTCTGCTGTCTGGGGGGTTACAGGATGCTGCTATGTTGTTTCCTTTCTGGCTTTACTTACATGTATGTTTGTTTTTTTCCGAGAAAGAGAATGCTTGTGATATAGGTTGCAGCACTCTTTAGGGGGAGTTGTGTGTTAGACCCAGTTTCTAAACGTTTTTGTAGAGTTGAAAGCGCTGGCATGCTGAAATGTACAACACACGATATTAATAGCATTGCCGAACACCCCCGTAGTAGTGTGCAAAGGACGGGTGACTGAAGATCGACCAATCAGAAGTGAGCTAGTCTGTATATGGACAGTCTGTGGGGAGATTATCGTGGAACTGACCGCGCAGTGTCAGAGAGAAAAAAGGGGTGGGGGGAGCTAAGCCCCACCTTCATCCAAATAATTTTCTTGGTATAATCTTAGTTGCAGCTTCATAGCAACTAGGGATAGTGGGGTGGCTCACGCCTGCTTTTATTGTGCAGTAATAACAGTTTTTATTGCTGCTCAGTAAAACATGGCTTGAGCTTAACCCCACCAAAAGGAAATTATTGTTTGGGCGGGATCCTTAAACCTTCTTTAATTGTGCAATATTAATAGTAACTTATTGTAAATATAAAAATTGTTGCTGAGTGGTAAATTAAAAATTATGTGTTTGAAATTAGATGTATAAACAGATATTTACAAAAATAACATCAGTATATTATTTGGGGTAAATGGGGTGGGGGGGCTGCTTCCTTAAATGTATTGATAGTAAGGCCGCATCTCCCCCCCCCCCCCCCCCCCCCCAATCCCCGTCTTGCCTTTCCTCTGAGTGATATCATTTTTGTAAACCAGGAATAGGGTTGGGGCTATCGCACCGCCCTGTGGAACTCATTCTTAGTTTTGCCAGTTTGCCAATGTGTCCATCAATTCTGAATCTGGCTTTGCATTGGAAAAGAAAGTCTTTGATCCACTTGTACACGTTGTGCACAACTATTGCCGGGAGCAGTTTTAGTTGTAGGTCTTCTTTCCAAACTGTATCGAAAGCACAAGAGAGGTCAAAGAAGACTGCAAGAACTTTTGTTCCTGGAAGGCATTCTCAATGTCCTGTGCCAGGTATGTCAACTGGTCCTCTGTGTTTCTGTGCTGTCTGTATCCTGTCTGTGTGGTGGTGATTAACTGAGTTTGTCTGCAAGAACCACATTGGTCTTTAATTACCTAATGTTTCCATAAATTTTCCTACACAACTAAGAAGGCTAATGGGTCTGTAGCTTTCTGGGTCTCTTCTGTCTCCACACTTTTTAAGGATAGGCTGGATGAGGGCTATCTTACAGGCTGACGGCAATATACCTTTCTGCCAGCTCTGGTTGTAAATGCAGAAGAGAAACTTCTTGGCAACAGGCCCAAGATGAGGGCAAATTCATTTGTAATGCCCTCAGCCCCTGGAGCTTTTTTTTTTGTTTTCAACTCAAATTCCAACCTCCAGCTCTTGCATGGTGAACTCAGCTGTTTTTGTACTAGAGTCTTGTAGAAGAACCTTGGTCTGGTTTCATACTTCTTTTATTCTTTGCATTGGATCTCACTTTTTTTCTGGTGTGTTGTAGTGAGCACATCTGCTGCTGACCTTCCAGTAACAGCTCCTTTATCTGTTTGGAGTACAACTCTGGCTTTGTCTTTCTTGTCTCCTACCTAGGCTTTTTGTGAGATTCCACCAACGTGAAGTGTCTTTTTCGAGGTTAAATGACACCGTCTTTTTGTGCCAGCTTTCCCTTATCTGTTTGTTTCTTTCTTTGATGAAGGCTGCTTTTGCTCTGTTATGAAGTAGTACATTTTTGTCTATGGGATCTTTCTCCATATTTTCCCTACTGATACTAATTTTGGAATGCAGAAAGTCCAGTTCAAGCGACCAGTATGGTTGAAAGTCTTTTCTGGCTGCCTCGTGGTATGTTACCATTGGCTGCATTTAGAATAGTAGTGTTGAGGATCTTCAGTTTGTCATTTGGTTCCAATATTTGGAAGAGGACTCTTCAGCATGTCATCCAGCTGGGAAGTGACAAGGTTCCAGTTAGCTTTCTTGTAACTCCAGCTGGGAAGTGACAAGGTTCCAGTTAGCTTTCTTGTAGCTCCAGCTGGGAAGTGACAAGGTTCCAGTTAGCTTTCTTGTAGCTCCAGCTGGGAAGTGACAAGGTTCCAGTTAGCTTTCTTGTAGCTCCAGCTGGAAATTGACAAGGTTCCAGTTAGCTTTCTTGTAGCTCCAGTTGGGAAGTGACAAGGTTCCAGTTAGCTTTCTTGTAGCTCCAGCTGGGAAGTGACAAGGTTCCAGTCAGCTTTCTTGTAGCTCCAGCTGGGAAGTGACAAGGTTCCAGTTAGCTTTCTTGTAGCTCCAGCTGGGAAGTGACAAGGTTCCAGTTAGCTTTCTTGTAGCTCCAGCTGGGAAGTGACAAGGTTCCAGTTAGCTTTCTTGTAGCTCCAGCTGGAAGGGTTCTTTTCCTCAGTGATTTTGTGACTTTTGTTAAAAGACAGGATTATGGGCCTGTGATCACTGGATGCTAGTTTTCCTCCAAGATCCAGAGTAGAATGTGTCTGGGTCAGCAGCATTATTTATCAGAACCAGAGTGTTGCTGATGATCCAGTTTCCTACCTCTTCTCCTTTCGCATTGAGGTCTGTGTAGCCCCTAGCTGGGTGAGTGGCTACTTAGATCTCCAACAGCAATCCATTTTTCTGTATTTGGTTGAATGGGTCCCAGATCAATATCTCTGTTTGGTGGTGAGTAGATGTTGCATACTGTCACATCTCCCCTTGCACCCTTGATGGTGTGATAAACTCTGTATCACCACAAGGAGATCTCTGGGTTTCCCAAGCTGTGATTGTGTTCTTGATAGCAGTCAAGACTCCTCCTTTTTGCCTACCCCATTTTTTTAATCTTTTCTCCAGGCTATGCCAGTGTAGTGGGTAATGAACAGGCAGACAGATTGACTGCACCTCTGGGTGGTGAATTAATACATGACAAGGCAAATATGGTCAAGGCCCTTTGGGAACAAGCAACGGAATCAGTAGAGAAACAAGATTATTATGGTCTGGAGAGAATGGGGCACCTGGCTGTAACCAGAGGCTCTGGCCAGCTGACTACACCCAGAGGACAGGCAAGATGAACATATAACCAGACTGTGACCGATACCATCAGTATTGGAACTCTGTGCTGGCTGCTAAATATGAGGACAGAGCATGCATAGGAATGCCCTTAATGCTGTAATATCAGTTCTTGACTCAACTCTGTCGGGCTTTGTAGCCCTAGCTCCCTAGCCTGTGTTCTTACAGGAACTTCCACAAGGCAGTGGGGATTTGGCATTCGATGTGTCCTTCAGGTAGATGAATTGCCTTTCAGGGCTTATAAGCTTCTTCTGCCAAGGATGGTTTCCACTCACTTAGTTTTGCCAGTCAGCCAAGACTGTTGGCCGGAGTATGGCATGACAAGCCATAAGTGAGCTAGGTAAAGAAATAGGGCCAGAGGAATTCTGACCACTCTGAAGGATGTGGCTGTCCCACTTCTTGAGGTACTACCCTTATCTTTTTACCCTACACCCCGTCGTTGTTCGTCTATTTGGACTTTGGTTTTGTGTGTGCATCCGTTTTGCTGGCTTATTTGTGCGCCATTAGTTGTTCCTTGCTGCTCGAGCAAATGCACTCCGATTTCAAAGGAAGCTCCCAGTTAGTCGACTCTTACAACATGCTTTTTTGGGTAGGCATCCAAAGTTTATTGGGTTTTTCTACTTTTCATTTTGTTTAATCTTTTCATGATATCTTTGCTTTATAAGCATTACTTTAATGTTTTTAGTCATTCTGCCTAGAAGATTAAAATAATTTTGCTTTTTTTGTAGAGGTTGGTTGCAGATTGAGCTGTGTGCGGGAGTATGAGTCGACCGACAGCACCAGGGCCAAAGGGAAGGACACTTCAGGTGCCAGCAATGCCAAACACAGCCCTGCAGATTCAAGCCCCTGAACTTCCCACAGCTGTGTGTAAGTTTCTTGCTTAGTTTGGTCCTTGTACAGTTTGAAAGCTGGCTTTTGGCAGATGAACTATAACTGTGTAAGTTTCTTGCTTGCTTTGGTCCTTGTACAGTTTGAAAGTTGGCTCTGTGGCTAAGTTGATGCGAATGCTTCGTAATGCCGGCTTGCCGGGTTCGATCCCAGCTGCATGCTATGCGCCTTGCGTTGGTTTCGACAGTGGTAACAAGAAAGCCGACCGTTCTGAAAGCAATGGCAAACTACTGGACGTAAATTTGCCTAGAAATACCACACAACAGCCAGGGGCTGTGGGGGTTGGTTCTGCAACATCCTGTAAAGGATAGGCAACTAACCTAACAGTTTGAAAGCTGGCTTTTGACAGATGACTATAACTGTGTAAGTTTCTTGCTTGCTTTGGTCCTTGTACAGTTTGAAAGCTGGCTTTTGACAGATGACTATAACTATGTAAGTTTCTTGCTTGCTTTGGTCCTTGTACAGTTTAAAAGCTGGCTTTTGGCAGATGAACTATAACTGTGTAAGCTTTTTGCTTGCTTTGGTCCTTGTAAAGTTTGAAAGCTGGCTTTTGGCAGATGAACTATAACTGTGTAAACTTCTTGCTTGCTTTTGTCCTTGTACAGTTTGAATGCAGGCTTTTGGCAGATGAATTATAACTGAGTAAGCTTCTTGCTTGCTTTTGTCCTTGTACAGTTTGAAAGCTGGCTTTTGCAGATGGACTATAACTGTGTAAGCTTCTTGCTTGCTTTGGTCCTTGTACAGTTTGAAAGCTGGCTTTTGACAGATGAACTATAACTGTGTAAGGATAGAAAAGGGTGTTTAAAGATTAGATCAACTTGAGGTTATCCTATATAGTCAAAGCTGAGAGGAGGGATTCAGAATTCTGGGTAGTCATATGGGAGACAGATTCAAATCCTCAATTTTTTTGGGGGGGCGTTCACAGGCTGTGAATTCCGGTGGAAGGTCACGGTTAATCGTCCGCTTGGACTTTTGGCTTTCACCCGGACCTGATTTTTGCGTGTACAACCGTTTTAATGTTCCCTGCCTCATGGGCAGCTGTACTCCGACTTCGAAGGAAGACGGCAGGCCTATTTCTAGGTTGACTGTGGCCATTGTTTTGTGTAGGTCAAGACGTTGCCTGATTTGTGTGGAGTCCACTTTGTCTCCTTCTCCACAGGTATTGCCCCTGGAGTACCCCTTTGGGGCAGCCCCCTGTGGAACAGTTAGCCCTCAAGGGAAGGCAGGGGCAGATCATGGGCATTCCCCGCCATCCAAGGAGGCTTCCATGTATGCAGAGCCGGCACATGGCGCTCTGGTTCTGGGCTCACCCAAGGAATCGTCATGTCCTGCACATGCCTGCTTAACCTCACAACCGTATCAGGCTTCCCGCTCGACAAGAGCTGCGCCCTCTGGAAGTCAGCAGGGAGCAGCCTGTGGATTTTAGACTTTTGTGACCACACGAATAGGCACATTCTTTTTTCTTCGCACGTTAGATTTCTTTGACGAGCCATTAGCCCGACATAATTTTACATCCTGCGTCAGGCATATCGTTATCAGTTTGGTCCCAACACTCGGGCGAGTGGGGTCTTTGGGTGTGGACATTTGGTCTTTTTTACGTTCAGTACAAATTATGGAGGTCAGATTTTGAGCTCACTCGTGTGCCGTAGGATCTAGTTTTGTCGGACAAGTAGGCTTAGCCAGCCAATGGGCTGTTGCTGTTGTGGTGTACCTCAGCGTGGTGACGACAACACTAAGGGTTACACAAGGATGTACATGGCTGGCCAGCCTACGTATGGTTGCTGTTTTGGAGTACCTCAGCGCGGTGACGACGACACTAAGGGTTAACCGAGGATGTACATGGATGGCCATCCTCTGGATGGTTGCTGTTGTGGTGTACCTCGGCGCGGTGATGACGACACTGAGGATGTACATGGATGGCCAGCCTAGGGATGGTTGCTGTTGTGGTGTACCTCAGCGCGGTGACGACGACACTGAGGGTTAACAGAGGATGTACAGTGAACAATGTTTTCTTCACATTCTTTTAACCAAGGGTTGTGATTTTTAGCTGTACGTTTGGCAAGCATACTCATGTTCCTAATGAGTTTTGATAACCTTTTTCACCCAAGCATTTGGGGGCGGGCTCATGAGAGCCACAAGGACACATCACCTCTGGGGGCCGCCAAAACTCTGAGATCCCCTGACAGCTCTGTTAATGCTCGTTTGAGACATTATCCGTGGCGCACGACGAGGACGTGCTGCAGGGGTCTTGCGTGAGGTTCCGTAAAACCAGAACAGTGAAGGACTGGCGCCCGAGTGGCGTACGGAGAATCTCCTTATACACATCATGTTGGACTTAACTTCCCCTCACGCCTGCGACATAAATCACCGCGCCACCTAAATCGATTGATTTTTGTTTTCTGTCTGGGGCAAAATAAAATCCTAACCTGCACAGTCTGTAGTGACGACACTAGCCATCGAGCCCTAAACTGGAAAACAAAATTATTTTGTTAATATAATCGTACCCACCACATTTAGACATTGTAGTTTTAACCCGTACCAAAGCTGTTCTTTAGGTGTTTTGGCCACAGCCCAAAGGCATCATGCCATTGAAAACCCATAAAAGTTGAAACACTGGCTTTCTCAGTGAGACAGGGCTGAGAACTGACATCATAGCACTTGGGACATGCCCATTAGTGTTCTGTCTCTCTTCAGCAGCTAGTAAAGAGTTCCAGTTCCGCTGGTACCAGTAGCAGTCTGATTGTACATCTGCCTTGTTCTTCCTTTGAGTGTCGGCCACATCCCCTGCCCCCCCCCCCCCCCCCCCTTTTAAGGCACACAGATGTTTTTCATTGCTCTGAGCAAATCAGTCTAACGTCTTGAAAATGTGTACCTAGAATTGTTCTGAAAAATACATTTTGATTGCTTGTTGGTGACCACCACACCCATTAATTACTGATTGGTCTATAAAAAAGGTTCTCTGTCAAGGACATTCTCATCTGATAGGAAGAAAGATCATCAGCTAACAAATGTTTGTGTAATTATTCCAAACCTCTGTATGTTTCTTCTTCAGCACTTCCTCAGTTAGTAGGTAATCAGGTCGTCGCAGTTCCAGCTCAAGGCAAACTGGTCACCCCATAGTTACTCTGTTCCATGCCAGCGAAAACCGCACAGAATGCCCATCACTGGGCCTTGTGAAAACAAAATTGTCACAGACTGCAGTCTCAGTAAAGCCAATAGCATACACATGTATTAAATACATTAGGCAGCTGTTGGAAGTGCCAACACAAACAGTCCTGTACTAGAAGTGCAATTTGTCACGGGAATACAGGGATCTGGTTCCCATCCTTCTAACTGCATGGACACTTGATACTGTTTCTGTTATGTTATATTTCTATACTGTTCAAAGAAAGAAAGCATAGTTACTGAAAGAAACAACCATACTCATAATTTTGACATTCTGCATCTTTGTAATGCATTAAGTGAAATTACTCAAATTTCACACAAGAATGTCTTAGGGTTCCACCAATCAATTGACACTTTTTTTGGCATCTGGGTCACAATAGTTTTTAAGCGTAGGCTTTTCCCGATAGTGTGGCCTCATTTTGCATGGATCAGTGATGTGGTCCTGTAGGATGGCCGCTCACTCTTCCTGGAGTGTCTGGAACCAATCACGACCATTGGCTGGAGCAACATTTCCCAGACAAACACGTCTTTGCAGCTCATCCCACAGGTGCTCAATCGGACTCATGTCTGCAGACAGGGATGGCCAGGGAAGGGTTTGAATGTTATTGGCAGTTAGGAACCTCGTGGTCAGCTGTGCAGAATGGGGTCTGTCGTTGGCCTGTTGAAAAAGATATATGTTGGCATCCCAAAATGGAAGGACATGTGGTCGAAGAATTTCATGGGCATATCGTTGCACATTCAAGCTTCCTTCAGTGTGCACCACTTGACTCCTTCCATTGTAACTGATCATTCCCCATACCATTACATCTCCACCACCATGCAGCAGAGCTTCATCAGCACAATTTTGGGCTAAACCTTCATTTCATCTATGGTTGACCCTTCACCATCTATCATGACGCTGCAACAACAACAAAAAAGATTCATAACTGAACCAGACACGTCTCCACTGATTGTCACTTGCCCAGGGATGATGTTAGTTGGCCCAAAGAAATCGATTTTGGCGGTGGCATCGCATAAGGACAGGTCCTCGGTGTGGTTGTCGAGCTCAAAGTCCAACATCATGCAGTCTATTCTAAACAGTTTGATCAGACACATGACATCCTGGAGGCAATGCCTTTGCAGTTGAGAATGCTGTTGTAGACCTGTCTCTAAGCTTACGAAGCCGAATAAAGCGATTCTCCGCTGCTGTTGTCACTCTGGGTCGTGGCTTGGGACCGGTGCCAAAGTTGACTAATGGTACTCTGATGCATGTTTAGATGTCTGGCAACCTGACTTTGACTTTCTTGTGCCTGCGATCAGCCAAAAGCAATATTCCTTAAATTTATCAATAGAGGCGCCATTCGTGAAAGCTTGATCGTTTTGGTGTAGCGTTATCCTTTTATAGGGTTTCAATTGCATAGGCAGTGAATAGTGTTCACCGCAAATTGTGCTGCTTTCTCATGCGCGCATCATGAGCTATGCTTACAAATATGGTCTTAAACACAATTTACCACTGCGTTGTAATGATTACAAAAACCTACACAATTCATGCTCACATATCCACTGGACACGGTAAACAACGTTTGAGTCTGCTTTTCACATACCCGAGTACGGTATTTTATTTACAAACTAATAAAAACACGCCATCGGATAACTATGCGTTTTGTTTTTTTCAACAGTATACTTTGTCTTGGTCTACCTCAAGCTCTGCGTCTATCATCTCTTTTGGTAAATACCTTGTATGGTATGGCATCGCAAGGCATTCTCTCCAAACGGGAAAAACCGCATTATTTGCTGACATTGAATGTAATGTAGTATAGGATCTGTGCAGACATTGTGTCTTATTCCATGTGTGTTTAGTGTATTTAATTAACATGATTATCACTGTTTTGTTTTTATGATAACAGGGGCAAGTCCCAACAATGGTAACTCAGATCTGGCCAGCTATTTTGAATGTCCTGTTTGTTTTGATTATGCTCTACCTCCAATTATGCAGTGCCAAAGTGGCCACATAGTGTGTCAGTCATGTCGTCAAAAACTGACTATATGTCCAACATGCCGGGGTCCACTGGGTGAGTTGTATTGTTCATTGTAATTAAATTATCTTTTTTTTCTTCTTCTTCTTCTTCTTCTTCTTCTTCTTCTTCTTCTTCTTCTTCTTCTTTTTATTCTTCTTCTTCTTCATTCTCGTACTCCTCCTTTTCTTCTGTCCTTCATCTTTCTTCTGTCCTTTATCATCTTCTTTCTTTTTCTTTTTTTCAACTTCTTTTTCTTCTTCTTTCTTTTGCTCCTCCTTCTCTTCCATTCTTCTTCTTTATCTTTTTTATTTGTTTAAACTTTCTCTTTTGTTTTATCTTCTTCAATTTCTTCCTCATCCTCCTCTTTGTCCCTTCTATTTATTCTTCTTCATCTTATTTTTTTCTTTTTCTTGTCCCCTCTTTTCATTTTTCTAACGGCCTGCATATTATTAACATGTGCATGCAATATCTAGTGATAGAATGTAATGTAACTAAGTTTCTTAAACACTTTGACCCTATTAATATCTTTAGGTGGTTTTAAACCTAGAAAAAAATATTAGACTCAGTGCCCACCTTCCGCATTCCCCAACATAGATGTTATAAACGGCGACTAATCAGGCATGTTTCCATTGAAGTTGGACTACGTCTTTCTGAGAGGCAAAGAACCAACAGTCTGCATACAGATAAGACTGATCTGTGAAACATGTGCAGGCAAAACTCAAGTTCTGGAGCAAGACTAAAGTAAAGTGCAGAAGTGGTTGAACAACCAGAGCTATATGTTAGAGTTTACCACCAATGAGGGTGACGAAGAAGAAATTGGTTTTATTTGAGGCAAACGCCACATCCACGAGTGAGTGCAGCCCTTGAAAGTGGAAGCAAGTATGATAAAAGTTGTGTCCCCTCATAAGGGTCTACAGTTAATGAAAGTAATGAAGTTTTGCAGGTTTGAAACACGGATCAGCGTCATGACCCATAAGTGTTTTGTTCTACGTCTTACTCAAGTCTGAGTGCGAATTAGCTCTGCACAGTGTACTGGCTCCATAACACCGGCAAGAATCCTGAAATAAATCAGGGTAGATTTGTAACTCCAAATTTTTGCCCGGACAGTGCCATTAGGCTACTGTTTTCAATTTCCAATTCCCAAGGGATTTTTTTTTTACGTGTGCAACAATACACACAGGCATTCTAGTCTTACTACCCAGAGACCAGGAGAAATTACTAGAAGTCCACGTGAAAAAATCCCCAGCCCTTACTGGGGCTTGAACCCGGGACCTCTAGCACTCGAGGCGGACACCATACCTTGAGACCACGCAGCCCCCTTGATAGTAATGACATTGCTGAATGTGTTCCCATGTTTTCTTGACACAAGGCGAACAATCCAATTAGTGTACTCTCTGTTGCAGGAAATATTCGAAACCTAGCAATGGAGAAAGTAGCTGCTTCAGTTCTCTTTCCTTGTCGTTACTCCAACAATGGCTGTCTGACCACACTACTGCACACAGAGAAGATTGAACATGAAGACACGTGTGAACACAGGTAACTGTTGTAGGTATCTATGTGTGGTCCGATTGTTTTTTTTAAACACATTTTTTTATGTGATCCTAGACTCGTACTTTCATAGACCAGTTAGAACTCGATGGGTGATGTGATCAACATCACATTGACTGCTTTTACCTCCCAGGACTTCACCTCGTACTCATTTAAAAGAACAAAAAAATGCTGGGTCCATCTGGGAGTCAAGGTTTTTTTTAAACAATCAGACTCAGTGAAGATTTGTACCCAAGAACTTAAGGTCGGCAGTTGAGCGTGTAACGGTTACACCACAAAGGCCTTTGTGTACCGAAAGGGGAGTAAAATGTAGTAATTATTCAGCAAGCTGTAAGAGGTTGGCGGAGACTGATAGACAAATTTTAGGTCTACAGTCCACCCAGTTATGGACAGTCTTGATATGAGAAAGGACTTTGTGTGAGTTGGTTTTGATACTAAAGAGCAGTAGAGGAAATGAGACAGGTGAAGATGAAGCTTATGGAGATATCTTTTTCTTTTGCATTTGCCCCCTGTATTCTTTTGTAATTATTTTCCTCCTTATTTTACCATAGTCCATTCATTCTTTGCCAGTCCATTCATTCTCTGCTTTACTTTACCACAGTCCATTTATTCTCTGCTTTATTTTACCACAGTCCATTGATTCTCTGCTTTACTTTACCACTGTCCATTCATTCTCTGCTTTACTTTACCACAGTCCATTTATTCTCTGCTTTACTTTACCACAGTCCATTGATTCTCTGCTTTACTTTACCACAGTCCATTGATTCTCTGCATTACTTTACCACAGTCCATTTATTCTCTGCTTTACTTTACAGTCATTGAGTCCACCACAGTCCATTGATTCTCTGCTTTACTTTACCACAGTCCATTTATTCTCTGCTTCTCTGCTTTACTTTTTACTACACAGTCCATTTATTCTCTGCTTTACTTTACCACAGTCCATTGACTCTGCTTTACTTTACCACAGTCCATTTATTCTCTGCTTTACTTTACACAGTCCATTCTCTCTGCTTTACTTTACCACAGTCCATTTATTCTCTGCTTTACTTTACACAGTCCATTTATTCTCTGCTTTACTTTACCACAGTCCATTTTTCTCTGCTTTACTTTACCACAGTCCATTTTTTCTCTGCTTTATTCACAGTCTGCTTTTACTTTACCACAGTCCATTCATTCTCTGCTTTACTTTACCACAGTCCATTTATTCTCTTGCTTTACTTTACCACAGTCCACAGTCTCTGCCATTCTTTGCTGCTTTACTTTACGCTTACAGTCCATTTATTCTCTGCTTTACTTTACCACAGTCCATTTATTCTCTGCTTTACTTTACCACAGTCCATTTATTCTCTCTGCTTTACTTTACCACAGTCCATTCATTCTCTGCTTTACTTTACCACAGTCCATTTATTCTCTGCTTTACTTTACTGCAGTCCATTTATTCTTGCTTTACTTTACCACAGTCCATTCATTCTCTGCTTTACTTTATTCCATTTATTCTCTGCTTTACTTTACCACAGTCCATTTATTCTCTGCTTTACTTTACCACAGTCCATTTATTCTCTGCTTTACTTTACCACAGTCCATTTATTCTCTGCTTTACTTTACCACAGTCCATTCATTCTCTGCTTTACTTTACCACAGTCCATTCATTCTCTGCTTTACTTTACCACAGTCCATTTATTCTCTGCTTTACTTTACCACAGTCCATTCATTCTCTGCTTTACTTTACCACAGTCCATTTATTCTCTGCTTTACTTTACCACAGTCCATTTATTCTCTGCTTTACTTTACCACAGTCCATTTATTCTCTCTGCTTTACTTTACTTTATCACAGTCCATTCATTCTCTGCTTTACTTTACCACAGTCCATTTATTCTCTGCTTTACTTTACCACAGTTCATTCATTCTCTGCTTTACTTTACCACAGTCCATTCATTCTCTGCTTTACTTTACCACAGTATATTTATTCTCTGCTTTCCTTCACAACAGTCCATTTATTCTCTGCTTTACTTTACCACAGTCCATTCATTCTCTGCTTTACTTTACCACAGTCCATTCGTTCTCTGCTTTACTTTACCACTGTCCATTCATTCTCTGCTTTACTTTACCACAGTCCATTTATTCTCTGCTTTACTTTACCACAGTCCATTTATTCTCTGCTTTACTTTATCACAGTCCATTCATTCTCTGCTTTACTTTACCACTGTCCATTTATTCTCTGCTTTACTTTACCACAGTCCATTTATTCTCTGCTTTTACTTTTATACTTTACCACAGTCCATTTATTCTCTGCTTTACTTTACCACAGTCCATTTATTCTCTGCTTTACTTTACCACAGTCCATTTATTCTCTGCTTTACTTTACCACAGTCCATTTATTCTCTGCTTTACTTTACCACAGTCCATTTATTCTCTGCTTTACTTTACCACAGTCCATTTATTCTCTGCTTTACTTTACCACAGTCCATTTATTCTCTGCTTTACTTTACCACAGTCCATTTATTCTCTGCTTTACTTTATCACAGTCCATTCATTCTCTGCTTTACTTTACCACTGTCCATTCATTCTCTGCTTTACTTTACCACAGTCCATTTATTCTCTGCTTTACTTTACCACAGTCCATTTATTCTCTGCTTTACTTTACCACAGTCCATTTATTCTCTGCTTTACTTTACCACAGTCCATTTATTCTCTGCTTTACTTTACCACAGTCCATTTATTCTCTGCTTTACTTTACCACTGTCCATACATTTCTCTGCTTTATTCTCTGCTTTACTTTACTACAGTCCATTTATTCTCTGCTTTACTTCACCACAGTCCATTCATTCTCTGCTTTACTTTACAGCAGTCCATTCATTCTCTGCTTTAATTTACCACAGTCCATTTATTCTCTGCTTTACTTTACCACAGTCCATTTATTCTCTGCTTTACTTTAGCACAGTCCATTTATTCTCTGCTTTACTTTACCACAGTCCATTTTATTCTCTGCTTTACTTTATTATCACAGTCCATTCATTCTCTGCTTTACTTTACCACAGTCCATTTATTCTCTGCTTTACTTTACCACAGTCCATTTATTCTCTGCTTTACTTTACCACAGTCCATTTATTCTCTGCTTTACTTTACCACAGTCCATTTATTCTCTGCTTTACTTTACCACAGTCCATTCATTCTCTGCTTTACTTTACCACAGTCCATTTATTCTCTGCTTTACTTTACCACAGTCCATTCATTCTCTGCTTTACTTTACCACAGTCCATTTTCTCTGCTTCTCTGCTTTACTTGCTACCACAGTCCATTTATTCTCTGCTTTACTTTACCACAGTCCACAGTCTCATGCTTTACTTTACTCAGTTCCATTCATTCTCTGCTTTACTTTACCACAGTCCATTTATTCTCTGCTTTACTTTACCACAGTATATTTATTCTCTGCTTTACTTCACCACAGTCCATTTATTCTCTGCTTTACTTTACCACTGCTTTACTTTACCACAGTCCATTTATTCTCTGCTTTACTTTACCACAGCTTTATTCTCTGCTTTACTTTACACAGTCCATTCATTCTCTGCTTTACTTTACCACAGTCCATTTATTCTCTGCTTTACTTTTTACCACAGTCCATTCATTCTCTGCTTTACTTTACCACAGTCCCATTCATTCTCTGCTTTACTTTACTTTATTATTCTCTGCTTTACTTCACAGTCCATTCATTCTCTGCTTTACTTTACCACAGTCATTTATTCTCTGCTTTACTTTTACAGTCCATTCATTCTCTGCTTTACTTTACCACAGTCCATTTATTCTCTGCTTTCTTTTTACAGTCCATTCATTCTCTGCTTTACCACAGTCCATTTATTCTCTGCTTTACTTTACCACAGTCCATTTATTCTCTGCTTTACTTTACCACAGTCCATTTATTCTCTGCTTTACTTTACCACAGTCCATTGATTCTCTGCTTTACTTTACCACAGTCCATTGATTCTCTGCTTTACTTTACCACAGTCCATTGATTCTCTGCTTTACTTTACCACAGTCCATTTATTCTCTGCTTTACTTTACCACAGTCCATTGATTCTCTGCTTTACTTTACCACAGTCCATTGATTCTCTGCTTTACTTTACCACAGTCCATTCATTCTCTGCTTTACTTTACAGTTGTCCATTTATTCTCTGCATTACTTAACCACAGTCCATTTATTCTCTGCTTTATTTTATCACAGTCCATTCATTCTCTGCTTTACTTTACCGCTGTCCATTCATTCTCTGCTTTACTTTACCACAGTCCATTTATTCTCTGCTTTACTTTACCACAGTCCATTTATTCTCTGCTTTACTTTACCACAGTCCATTCATTCTCTGCTTTACTTTACCACAGTCCATTTTTTTTTGTCTGCTTTACTTTACAGTTGTCCATTTATTCTCTGCTTTACTTTACCACAGTCCATTTATTCTCTGCTTTACTTTACCACAGTCCATTTATTCTCTGCTTTACTTCACAACAGTCCATTGTTTTTTCTGCTTTACTTTACCACAGTCCATTTATTCTCTGCTTTACTTTACCACAGACCATTTATTCTCTGCTTTACTTTACAGCAGTCCATTTATTATCTGCTTTACTTTACAGCAGTCCATTTATTCTCTGCTTTACTTTACCACAGTCCATTGATTCTCTGCTTTACTTTACCACAGTCCATTCATTCTCTGCTTTACTTTACCACTACCACAGTCCACTGATTCTCTGCTTTACTTTACCACTACCACAGTCCATTTATTCTCTGCTTTACTTTACCACAGTCCATTCATTCTCTGCTTTACTTTACCACAGTCCATTCATTCTCTGCTTTACTTTACCACAGTCCACTGATTCTCTGCTTTACTTTACCACAGTCCATTGATTCTCTGCTTTACTTTACCACAGTCCATTTATTATCTGCTTTACATTACAGCAGTCCATTTATTCTCTGCTTTACTTTACCACAGTCCATTTAT